GTGCTAGAGGTATCAAGCTGAGATTATTACCGAAACATGTTCAACTTTGTACACGATAAAACAAGGTTGTTTAAAGGTTTTTCTCTTGTCAGTCACGAACACTGTTAAATAACAGGTACATTTGCACAATTTTGATTACAACAATAAATTCGAAAGCATAAATCGATACACTGTGGTAAACAATAGAACAACTACAATGTATATACACATACTATGGCAGAAGTTTATGGAGGTAAGCAGAAGTAGAAGAAATTAGTGAAACAAAGAGGACGATGTTACTTAGTTGGAGCTAATCAAAAGGATACTCAATTGTTGGTTTGCAGGGATTTGATTGGTTTCAGGATTTCATCATGAGCTGAAATCGGTTAGAGAACCACTGGAAAATCAGTCCGGGAGCACTAGACAGCTGTTTCATCAGCCTAGTTTGGGACTTTTCAGCAGTGGTTTTAGTGAGAAGTCGTGACCGTTGGATGTGAGGACAAATACAAACCAATGATGAAAACGGCTAATAGTCCCACTATATCATAAATTGGAATTCATGGGCTGGCCACTGGATCGGGTCCCATTGGCTTAATAGTTTACGAGCTCATCTTGTGACCAGAAGGTCACAGGTTCGTACCTTGATGGTGGATGCGTGCTGATGAAGAGTCTCAAAATAGGACGAATCAGCTGTCCAGCACTGCCAGGTTTTCCAAGGTTCTCTCATTGATGGCAGCCCATGATGAAATCCAGAGAGCCATAGAGTTAGGTTTTTTACTTGCCTGCATTCGCCCACAAGACGTATCTGAGAGTAAATCGCTTCCTCTTAGGTTGCAGATACGCCTTAATGATGTGTGTTAACAAGCCCGAAACCTAGGTCCAGGGTTTCTTCCTGATTGCCTTCAATTGTATAACATCAGTTCAGAGTGTACAATGGTGACTATGTGACCAAATTGAAAATTTCACGATTCAGTTAGCACTAACACAAGCACTAGACGTTAGATGCTGGTTACTTCAGAGTAACCAAACAGTGGAAACAAGCTTATGTACTAGTAAAAATTATTGTTAATATTACAAAGGATGAAGTACACATATGGAATGATGCTATTAGACAAATACCAATTTAATTTTTAATATTCCCATCATGATAATTAGAGAACATAATTGAAAGAAAATACCTGTTCCGGGTATTGAACTGCCGCACATATGTGCAAAGTTCTATGTCGAAAACCGACCGACCTGTTCTGGGTAATGTTTTCACTAAGCCTTACAACTATTTGGTAAAATTATTGGCTGAACGCTTTTTCTTTTATATAAATCAATGGGAATTTTCAAGCTGCTCAAACGCTGCAAGGACCCAGTGACGGTGGCAGTTCCCTGCGTTACTCACGTCAAGCTTGCGGTAGCCAAGGCAAAAATTATTAATCATAGACATTTAATACCTATGTGGTTTATAGAAGTGAAGTTCAGGAATACAAATTAGTGGATCTTCATCATCATCCTTATAATAATAATAATTAACAAGGATAGACTCGTGGAAGTGTTTACATAATCTAGGTAGACCATCACTATGAACGTATTTGTTTCGGGTGAAAATAACTACTGTCGTCTCATAGCGTTTAGGGGTAATAGTGTTTGATATGATAATGAATTGTAAAACTAAGGTTAAAATATGAAATTATAACACAGTATGAGAAGATAGCTGTACAAATATAGATAATATTTACAGTAATCTAGTGGTGTCACCTGGAAAGATAACTATTCTAGATTAGGGGTAAAGGTTATGGGACGAAGAAGGACTGCACAAACTTCTTCTGAACACACGAATGAAAATTCCCATGGTAACTACCTCAGCTATGCTTAGCGATCGAATGAGTAAAAACCTAGAGAATCGAGGATGTGATGATCTTCTATGGGATGATAATGAATAAATTTTTGGTGTAGTTACTTGCTTTGAGCTGAATGGTTTAACCAAGAACCTTTCATTTTTCAAGTTAGATAAGCTTCGCTAAATCGTCTATCTGCGCCACAAATCTTCTCCACTATTATCTAGAATGAATTATTACTGTGTACTCCAGTCCGAAACGGGCGTGGGTTCGAATCTCACCTCCATCACACGCTTTGTGTGTCGGTGGCACAGCGGTTAGGACGCTCGCCGACCATGCACATGGTCCGGGGTTCGATCCCCTGCCGACGCACTCCTTTACCTCGCTAAGCCAGAAATAGTGCTGGTGAAGAGGAAAGGTTGGGCATGAGGCTAGCAACCCCATCCTGTAAAATAAACACAGCTACAGAAACTTCAAGCCACTAGCTTGAAGCCCTATGTTCCACTGGGGAACGTGAAGGAAGAAAAACAAACTCCAAATAAACTAGATGTACGAATATGATCCCTTTTCGTGACTACTGTTGGACAATGCTCAAGGTGTTCTACCTGTGCAACTGTCTCGAGGAGTGCTGTTGCATTTATGCAGCGAACCTAATTATGCAACGCGTGGCAAATTTTAAATTTAATGTCAACATGAAGAATGTTTTAACTATTAGTTTTCTGAGTTTTGATGCCAGTTATTCAGTAGCTGCATCTCCTTTGAACAATAAAGTTAAATACAATATACAGAACAATTCATAGGATGTATAGAACTTGGAAGGAATGTGAAATTATGGGATTAGTAGGCAAAAAGAATAAAAATAAAAAACGTTAGGTAACATTGTGTGAAATTTGGTAACATAGAATTAAACGCTGCAAAACAAACTGATTTCGAATGACAAGTGGAACGAGTGAAATAATACCGGGGACAATTCAAAGGGAGAATAGTAATAGCAACAATTGACGTAATAAAAGGCGAGTATACAAACTGAATAAACTAAAAGAAAAATAAGTTGAGCCAAAATATGATCAGGGATCATCATACTCTAGCATAGAGGGAGGATTAAGACCATGAAAGTTGAAGGGGTTGAACGAACTTTTTCTGTATACAGAGATCTGGCGTTTTTATTGCGATGGCTTAAGCCTCAGCAATACAGATGAGTTGGATACGTAGTGATATGGGCAAATTACTATATATATATATATATATATATATATATATATATATATATATATATATATTGCAACTTGTACGCACAAAAATGAAGCCAAAAAGAGAGATTTATAAATTAAATACAAGTGCCTAATAGAGAGAAGTACAACGGTTATTTCAAATCCAGTAAACTCTGAGAGATAAACTACATAAATTTTGTCAAAATGTAGGAATACATAAATCCTGAAAACAAAGTTTTGGGGAGCTGCATCAGTTGTGGTGTACTGATTACTCACAATATCTCAATACGTATACTAAAAGGCTAGTGTGGTGTATGCCGACTGACATCATCTTTCACGTTTCGATGAGAGGGGATGTGTGTACTGCACAACAACTCGTTCTGTCCTCCTCTATGACTATGAGACATGGCGATTGGAAGTGAGAGATATGCAGAGACTAACTGTCTTCGACCAGAGATGTTTGAATTCTATCTCACGTGTTATGTGATGATATAACATGATGTGAAATATTGAAGTTTGTCGTATAGTATGAAGTGAGTACCAGATGGGAATGAGAGTAAGTTGATCGATGAGGTTGTGGAGGTGCATCGACTGAGATTGTCTTCGTGAAGTAGTGTTGGATTGGGAAAGAGTTGGTGGTGGCGAAATTAAAAGGTGGAATCCGTCGGTGAAGTGTTTGACAGTTGGTTTGAGGTGTGTTGTGAGATGTAAACTGACTGAGTCGTTGGTGTCGTCGAGGTGGTGGTAAGTGATAGTTTGCGAGTGTCGGTGATATGCCTTGAGTTTGTTATCAGTTGTGCAGATCCATTCACTTTGTCTGTAACCTCCGAGATCCATTAAATCCTCATGTTTTTCCATGTTACTATTCTGTTTTGCTCCTGTAAATTTCTGTTTATCATTATTATTTTTCAATCTAATTTTCTCTCTTTTTTGTCTACCTTTGTATGTTACATAGGGTGTGGCAACTTGAACTGCTGCAATTCTATGGTAAGTCTTAAGTGGAATTCAGTCAGTCGTGTGGTATGCCACCTTGTCCAGTGAACTCTTTACAATTTAGCCCGTGGATGGACATAGTAAGCCAACCATTTCATAAATATAGCGCTATCACTGCTGCTTGGTTTGCAATGACTTTTTCAGCTGACGACACTTTTCTTCAATACAAGCGATTTCTTATAAATCCAAAATGCACACGCTGACTTGGTTGGTCCAACTGGTTATGAGTTCGAATCAAGCTATCGGGGAATCCATCACTAAGATAAAAACTAAGCAGAAGTTTAGAATGATGATTAGGTAAACTTTGTGTACCTATGGAAGTGTGAGTAGTTATCATTTTCCGGGTACATTAAGAGAGAAAGAGTAATAGTAATGCATGATCGCCGAACACGGTTGACGGACATCTGATTTAGGACAGTTACACACGACCTGTTTGAAGTGTTTATTGAAGGTATGAAGGTCTTATCGTCGGTTGAGGACTGCTGCGAGGTAAGTGTGAGTGTACAATTCCCAGATTCGATCTCTCCTAAGAGCACACATTACACAGCAGTATTGTATCTCCCTTAGACAACTAGCAGGTCAGTCATGCTGCCCGACATATTATGAGCGACTCAATGGTATGTACTAGTGACTGATATGACCAGGTGGTGAACACAACCAGCAGCACTTGTTTACCAGACCGAAGTGATCTAAACATCGGAGTCAAGCTCATCCATCAGAGGAGTGTCAAATCGGCTCATAGCTGACAAATTCTGGTTAGCTCTTCGGGTACACTGGAATCATATTAGCAATTCGTAAAATACACAGTTTGAGGTGAAAATCCCCTGTAATTTTCTTAAAGAGCTGAAACTATTTGGATCACAAGAGACACACTGTAACGGTAACTAGTTTAAGTTCAACCGTTATCCAAATTACTTTTCTGTCATGATATGACCTTTAGGAATATTGATCATAGCCAGTGTAGCTCGTTAAGTTATTGAGATATGAAAGCCCAACCACCGCCATGTCAAGGCAGTAACTAACGGTTAGGACTAAGCAGTACATTGCATCACACATAAGCAAGGAGCAATCAACAACTAACCGATAAGCCTTTCGGAATCTTTATGTCAATGTTCTTCGGACAGCATCTGATGAACAACTTGATAAACTGATAAAAATTAATAACGAAATTTGAAAACTTCTCGCATATCATTATTTCATACAAAAACTTAAAAATTCCTTCAATAATCATCAGCATCATCCAGCCATAAGTCCTCTGACAATCCCCATGATGCATTGAAATGGGATCTGTATATTTCAACCAAGAATACGCATTAGGAAAATAAAAATAAAAACAGAACAGCTAAATTGAGATACAAGACTTCAACAATAACACGACTCATCTTTTTCCATGACATCATACACACATGCACAATTATAACAGTTTATCAATACAGTACAGAAAGAACTGCTTAACATCATGTATTAGCTGAAATTATTTTTGTGTTTGATTGACAAAACAGTTTGTTTATAGGAAGAAACTCAGGTCTTTTCATTAAATACAACTGAAGAGGACCTGAAAAAAAAATAAAAACAAACTTTCGCTTAACAAAACAAGAAAAATACACTCGCAAAAGCGTTACTACTAACAGTTTTAATAATATTTAGAAAACAGAAAAAACTTCTTCAAAGAAATGTTGAAAAGCCATTGCTGCAGTTCAATTTCGATCACAAACAGACTTCAGTTAAAGAATCCCTGTAAAACCAACAGGGAGCACTGAACAGCTGTTTCACCCCTGTTTGAAACTCTTCGTCGGTACGCATCCATGACTCCAATAGGGATCGGACCCAAGACCTTCAGGTTTCGAGGCTAACCAATGGGATGGAATACAATGGCCCATCGATTCCGAATTCCGTCATTTCGCGATATTTAGTGTCACCGCCGGCCAATATCATCAGTTAGTATTATTTGTTTTCATATCTGACCAGGCGGAGCCCACTGGTCACGACTTCTCACTAGCACTTCTGGCAACTTTGTCCAGTAGTCAGTCACTGGTGAGTATCGGATTAATTTTCAAGTGACGGTCCAACTCCACCCAGTGGGATCATGGGTGAGCACAACTGAAGAGTCCCGAATTGGGAAGAGACAGCTATTCTCATTACTCCATGATTTTCATTGGTTTTCTACCTGATATCAATTTGTGATCAAACTTGACAAAAAAAGAAACCCCTACAAACTAACAGTTGAAAATTGGCAGAATTACTGAGCATCAGAATGTGAACTGTAAAACAATTATTCTATTCTCATTGATTTGTAGATGTAGACTGAGACTAACTATGAGTGATGAGAAGTTAGCCGGCACAATATATAGGAGACATAAGTTCTGTGTGTTATTGGAGATTTCAGCAGTATAAGAAAATCTAAAAAAAGGAAGAGGCAGCTAAAGTGTGCTAACAATCCTAATTAATAATTTTGATTCACAAGAGCGCTCTTAAATCTGAGTTAATTCGACAGTGAGATGATGGAGATATCCAAGATGGTCTTCAGTGTTGCCAAAATGGGTATTCACATAATATAAGTGAAAGACTAGTGATGAATGTTCTTATGAATCGATATTACACCTTGGTACGTGGTTACCTTTCATTCGCTTTAGAACCAATCCTATTGAGGTTATTGTATGATATATTAAGGTTAACAGTGGATAGGAATGAATAACATATTATGTACCAGCTGTATCACACACACAGAATTAACTGTCCAACGCAGATGATTCTACACCGCATGAAAACGTTCATATCACAGCTGGTTAGTTTACTCAAAGCTTTAATCTTGTTAACAGTCTTTACCTTAGCTATACTTTTTGAAGATGTTACAATTAAATAGGTGTGGATAAATTATCACAAGAATCCTACATTTACAACGGACAATAAATAAGGAATACTCGAATTTTTTCCTGAGGATCACGACTTCGAGGGAATATAGAAGTGAAAATACTTATCGAACAACAACAACAGCAACAGCAGCATGAGAAATTTACAGGAAGTTACTTCTTCTACTTATACAGGCAGCATCCTTTCAACAATAGGCGACACGGATATGAATGTCAAATCCAGTCAGGATAGGATAGGAAAAGTAAGACTAACCTTCATTAATCTGATATCAGTATAGAAATCTACTGAACTCAGAACACTAATGTCAAGTCAGTTGATGCTTCTATTTGGTTCAGAGAATTGGTGCGTTACAATAAAGAATTTTCAAAAGCTGGATCCTCTGGTTCCAAACCGAAGATCAGATGGCCAACCAGAAAGGATAAGCGACCAGGAACTCTGGGAATGAACCAACCATCTAACAGATTCGGTGAAGAAAATGGAGATAGGCTGAACACAAGCTGAAAAGCGACATCACACATTAGTGGAACCCGAATGGGAAACGACGAGGAGATAGTGTGGACAGCAGATGAGATCTTTTGGGCAATTTCGGAGCCATAAAATAACAGGATGAAATTGAGATGTGCAGTTGAAGCCTTGTGTCCTACCCGGAACCCAGGGATATAATAATCATCTACTAACTTGATGAGGCCAGTTGAAACCATTACAGTGTATATGACACATTCAACATTTGCAATAAAAACTCTTGTCGGAACCTTACAAATATAAAAAGTTAAGAAAAAGAAAAGTTTTCCAGAAAAAATAGAGGTGACGTAATCCTTTTCCTCTTGAATCAACCTACCACTTGTTATTTATTCATCAAATCGTGTACACATGATTAATGTTAAAATTTATCCATACGACACAACGGTGCTTTGTATATCATATTCAGATCAATTTTTGGACCAACCAAATCACGAATATTTTTATAACCATAGCGAATCATAGTTGGTCTAACAGAAAAGAAGAAAAAAGTAAGTGAACATAATCTTCAATAAAAAGAATATCAATTCGGGTTAGATCACAGACAGTTTATTCAACAGACGATAATTCATCACTGTAAGAGTAGAACTTGGGCATATAAGGATACACCCATCGACTGGGTAATTATACACTGGTTCGCAGGAGAATGGAACATATTTATCTCAGCCTCTTGAAAGAGACGAGACCGTAAGGGTATGGGAATAAGAATGTACACCTGACCAGCTAATACAATGATGCATACGTAATTGGTTAGGCAGCATTCACCCAATATATGATAACTGAATTAAATTGTCAGAAGTTGAAGTAAATCTAAAATCTGATAAAGAACAGTTGTCTTACACAGTCCACCTCATGAATAATATCAAATACTATTGGGCTTTTCCAGTTAATATTATTGAACAGATTCATCTAGTGTTGATCAATAAATTCCCTCACCGAATTGGCTGAGACGTGTTAACCCTCCTGGGTTTTATATCTCTGATAAGGTCATGCGTGAGGATTTCCGAAGAGTCTCCGACTAAGATTGTTTTAAAAAAAACAACTGTTCACTGCACCTTAGTTTCCAGTGGCTCAGGTCAAGATTATCAAATAGCACAACAATGTATCCTAATCTTGTATTTTCAGTCAAGAAGAATAATACTCAAAGACAGTAATGCGTTACAATAAACTCACAACATCCATAATTTATAGTGAATACTTCCCAGGAAAAATACAAAAAAGAGCTGTAGCCTCCGTAGTGTAATCCATAAAGAGACTTTAAAACTCAATGAGGAATACCCAGATTACTTCCAATAAGGTTTAGAGGAAATTTTTGATGTAATTTCACTTATAAGTGACCAAGATGAGCAGTTGAGAAGCACTTTCGCACTGTTATCGGTTACAAAATTTTTCAAGTGTATTCTGCTAGTACAATAGCTCGGATGATATCAAACAGAAACAACTGAAAATGGTCAATATTAATTGAAGGCAAAATGAAAATGTGAGTTACCGCAGGATTCGAACCAACAGCCTTCAAAATTACTACTCTGACAATCCTCTACTAATGTAATTTAAAATACTGCTGTTGATAATACCAATATTCCTTTATTTATTAATGTCATACAAGTGTAGGACTTGATGATGAATCTATCGAAAAGAATACTCTTTGTTCATTAAACATCAGTAATAGTCTATCAACCATTTAATACTATTTCTCTGAGCCTCCTCATGTCTGCAGCTGTGGCTTATCAGTCTAGGTGCCTTAATTCCAACCAGTGGGTCACGAATTCGAACCCCGACCCTCATACAATAGCTGTGGCTCACTGCTAATTGCATGGAATTGCAAGTGGTTGTTCAGTAGCACACATTTTCATTTCTTTTTCTGAGACTTACCATCAACAAAGATATGTATAAACTGAAATTAACTCACCGTTCCAGCGACAAACCCCAACCTAATACAGACAGTCCTTCAGGCAGCCCCATTGGTCGAAGCATTTCAGGACGGAATAGTCCGGAATTTCCTATTTCTATCCATTTTTTGAGACCTTAAAGTGTAGGTTTAAAAGAATTGACATTAAATTTTTACGTGTTTAATATTTAATATTAATTTAATGAATATCTGTTATATGGTAGTGTGCATTAATAGCCTGAATAACTAGGCTATCAGTAGTTAATATGGTCGAAAACAAAACTTCCAAGACGTTGACAAACTAAATGAATTGAATGTCCATCTATACCACCTATGCATGTTGATGCTTCAATGGTACAGAGCCAGGTGACCATGTTGGAAGTCCGCGTTCAATTACCCGTCGGCGTACTTCCAACCTGCAAATGGTTTGCTAGACAGTAGCATTCTCGGAAAAGACACAAGGTCAGGCAAGGGGCTAGCTGGGAGATTACAGAGAATGAATGTATCTGCACAACTGAAAACCACCTTCAGTCAAATCACCAACACTCTCAAACTATTTCTTACCACCACCTCGACAATCACAACTAGGCAGTCAGTCAGTCAGTTTACATCTAACAAAACACCTCAAACCAACTGTCAAACACTTCACCGACGGATTCCACCTTTCAATTTCGCCACCACCAACTCTTTCCCAAACCAACTGTATGTTACGAAGGCGGTCCTCAGAAATCAACATGCACATGTGTCCATGCAATCTCAGTCGATGCACTTCCACAACCTCATCGATCAACTTACTCACTTCATACTATACGCAAAATCTCAATATTTCACATCATCTTATATCATCACATAACACGTGAGATACAATGCAAACATCTCTGGTCGAAGACAGCTAGCCTCTGCATATCTCTCACTTCCAATCGCCATGTCTCACAGTCATAGAGGAGGACAGAACGAGTTGTTGTGCAGTACACACATCCCCTCTCATCCATACTCGAATATCACGTCTACATGAAAGATGATGTCAGTCGGCATATGACACACTAACCTTTTCTATCCGTACTGACACTTTCTCACCAATCAGTACAACACAGTTGATGCAACTTCTTAAATAGGTGAAGTGGTAGGCACGTTCAATCAATTCTCTACCTACCTTAAGACTAACAATCGCTGCACACGAGTCATGAAGCATCATCTTACATTTAACAGGGGACAATCGTATGTCAAACATTCGAAGATTCATGCTCAACGTCTTCATAAAGTCCTCTGCCCTTTGTCAGTATGTACACCTAGTCAACACCGAAATCATCCAAAAACTGAAAGTCCACAAGACTGTTCCCTGGGAAAAAGTTAATCCGTAAGTCTCTTAAGTCAATTAGGATCATTTCCGTTAGTGCATGTATGGTGAAATTGACGAAGAGTGGTAATAGTGAGCATACTTGACGGACGCCTCGAGTTGTATTCAACTTCAGATGATAACTCTCCTTAAGCTGTCAAACATCTGCGTGAGTTCCAGTAGAGTACCTTGATAAATGTGAACTGCTTTATAGGCGTTTCTTCCATAAACATATAAATATATATTTGGGGTCGGTAGAGTAGAATGCCATTTCGAGGTGAAGAAATATGGTGATTATTGGACGCTGTTCGGTATGCCTGTGTGTGGGAATCTGTTGACGAGTGAAGATGTGAAAAATATAACGTCTTGCTGAACTTAAGTCTGCTTAGTTTCCCTTGTTTGTTTTTTTCAAAATCACTTCCTAGTCTATGGATGATCACTTATTCTAGACCTTTGGATTAGTGAAGCTTGTCCCCTTCCGATAATCACAAGAAGATTTATCTTGCTTCGTATATACTGGGGTAATCAATAATTTACACCAATCTAACGGAAGTAATCCTGATTCCCTAATATCTTAGTTAACCCAAACATCATTTTATCATCACAGTGACTGAGTCATTCCATCAGATTCTGCTGCTTTACCGCTTTTCAGATTACAGGTCACCTCTGTAACTTCAGCAGTTATTGTAGGACCAATGTCTGAAACCTATGCACATAAGTTTTGCATGCTGGGAAACTTAGCATGGCTACAAGTGAGTTAAATTGCTCTTCAAAGTGTTCCTGAGAGGTAATTAAAGCACTGTTCTCTCCAGAAATTGTCTAACTTATCATTTATGTTTTAAAATCCTTAATAGGTCTAAAAAGTTGTATTGTGTTATCTATCGCCGAAGCATTTCCCATCTCTTTCACTTTTGTCACCCAGCACTATTGACTTTCGTGGTGAAGACTTTTTATTAGCCTGCATTTGAGCAGCTTTCGCTCCTCATCATTTTCGGAGCCCACTTGGATTAGCCTTTTTGTGTCTATCAGTTCTAATGAAGCAGCAGAAATCCACCGGCATTTAGTGACTTCTGATTTTAGGTTATCCACAAATCTAACCGGTTTCCACAGCTGACTGAATATGATGCCAGGCTTCGTTCAAATCAGCCTTCCTGTCAATCTCTGAGAAGCATCATAACTGCTTGTTTCCTATGTCCTTTCAGTCGTAAGCATAGACATGCATGGACTATACAGCGCGATTGGGGTCTACACAAGTGTTTCAGATGGTGTGGCAGTTTTCTTTCACTCCTCTTTACCGATAACATATACATATATGTGATCCATTTCTAAACAATATATCGATCATTTTGTCTCATTTCTACTGTCTGTCTACCTTACATGCAATAAATCACAATCACAGTCAACTGCATTCCACTTCATCCGCCATAGTACAGTTCCTGATAAATCTTTACTTATCGTCTCCTCTACTGGCTAATTTATAATAAAATCTATACTATCAAGACCGAGAAGAAAGTTATTGACACCAATTATTATTGGGTCAAGCTTTTCTTCTTTTGCAGATATCTAATTGGAGTTCCTAAATGACCTGAGTGTGAGATGATGGTTCTAACCTGATCGATAAAGCAATCCAAAAAAATCAAGGCAAATTTCCTCACAATCTGATATTGCATAGAAGCTACAGAAGCTCAGAATTCCTTAGAAATGTCAATCTAAAAACACAGCAGCAGCAGCAGCAGAAAAGGACTCTTAAAGTGCGAAGTTACAAAGTGACCACCGCTCCAGTAACTTCTTTTTTGAATTACAACTCAATTCTTGGCAGTATTTATATCTGCATTATTGTTTTAGGAAACACTTGTGTTTATAACTCACCAGGATGATAGCTGAATATTTCCATACTGGGCTCAGTATACGGATTATAAGCCGGTTTGAAACGTAGTTGATGCAGTCCTAATTTGCCGAAGAATGTCCGAATCACAGCTTTTAAATGACTTAAACCAAGACCGAAATCAGCGACTACACCCTCGACTTGATGAAATTCTGCCAAATGAGTTGAGTCTAAATTCTCATTACGGAATACACGATCAATACTGTAATATTTTGCAGGAGTAAATGGAGTCTGTAAGAAAGATATACACAATATTTGAAGGAAAATAAGTATAGAACAAACAAACATAAACAAATTTTCTATTATTACATAATCTGTGTTGTGAAGAAAAAGCATCTTTAGAATTTTGCAAACTAGTTTGCGCGTCCAACTTTCAAATAAATATTTGCAGACTTATGGTACTGCTAAGCTATATCGTACACCTGCTCAGTGCAGATGTGATGATACAGTTCGACGGGTTTAGATAGAATTCAAACCTGCCACCTTAAATGCATGGTTTGACAAAATGATCAAGAAATGATTCCAGACTGTGAACACATTTGCATCATCGTAAAGCAAAATACAAGAGAGAGAGAGTTACTACTGAATACTACTGAACAGTGAATATGTATAGATTAAACCTGAATCAAAGTGTTAATAATGAACAGATTTCACGCATTTATTCGCCTTAATGAATTTGAATAAAGCAAGAATAACAGTGGTTTGTGCAGAATAATAAAATGGTACCATCATCGCTTATTTCGTCGGCTTCTCATCAGCTCAACTGCTTACAACCCAAAGACATCATTAAGTTTATATACAGAAACAATTTTAACATACTTACACAGAGAGTTCATTTTTAAACCAAAACAAATCAATACATGCATACAATGGCAGTTAATAATAATAATCACCTAATCCCAAACAATAATAATCAAATACAATGGAATTGTTTGGCGTTACGTAATCAAACGAAACAGAGGATGAAAACATCGAGTTACCAGGCCGGGCAAGGCAAAACTGATAACCACTTTTTTCTGAAAACACAGGTTGGGTTTCAGGCACTTGATGGAGATTACTTCGGCAAACTTCATAAGAACTGAACTCTTTTGCCTGTTGATAATTTTGAAAGATCTTGCAACGTCCATCTCATAACTCGTGTCAAGGAGATGCCTAGTAATGGCACTGTCTGAAGCATTTTTCAGTTGAGACATGAGCTTTTTGGTAAATACTCATAAAATCGGAGGTATGCCCTTCTTTCTGTTCTCCCAATTTAACTGCCGCAGCAAATACCTATAAATTTTTATACGCAGTTGGTGTTTACAATGAGAAGGGTATCTGTCGAATTTTGATTGCACCAAAGAGCATGTTGTCCGATCGACAGGATCCAGCAAAAGGGTTCAATGCTCCTCAACTTTGCCGAAGCATTCTTCATCAAGAGCCTGAAACCCAACCTGTGTTTTCAAAAAAAAGCGGTTATAACCGAAGGGGAGAGTGTGAGTAGAATAATAATATTTCACACAGCTGGTTCCCTTCATTAGTTTGAATAAAGAAAGGACGAACATATTTGGAGGATTTTGTGGATTCTCATCAACTGCCTACATCCATCCTAATTAAATAAATCAATTATAGGTTACAAAATTGTGTCTGAACATAATTTCTGCAATAACGTCTAGTTATACATAGAAAGTTTAAGCAACATAATTTCAAAGATGATGTTAGTAGACAATTATTCAGTGTTAAGAGAGTAATTATTTATATAGTAATTGGACAAGGGGGTAGGCTTCAGATTTCCGCTTGGTAACAACAAGGATGGGCTAGAGACAAAATACAAGGTGGAACAGTAGAGTGAATTTATACATATTATAGTGGAGAAGAATTCAGGAGGATGCTGGTGGGGTGAATAGTGAATTAAAATTATAAAATACATAAAATAATTTAATTTACTAGATTTGGAAACTTAATAGTGAGTTCAACTCAGTAGGTGAAAATCAAAATTGAGTGGAATGTTATGCAACCGAATTAAAGACAAAAGCACACGAACAAAACAATAATGGTTATCAGTTTAGTGAGAGATTAATCACACTATCTTTCTGTATGCATACACTGGATCCAAGTCTTTTGATGGCAGTGGCTTCTGTGAACTGAAGTAACTATGCTTTTCTTTGTGTATTGATTATTTTTGAAATTTTTGAAAGCCTAACAAATTCCCACTGTATGTCCCGTGTCCATAATAATAATAATAATAATAAATTGTGAAACTAAGAATAAAGTATACATCTATAACACAGTACGATATTGATAATGGAGGTAGAAGTATAAATAAAAATGAAAACAGTATCTACATTTAACCGGCATCATGGAAAATATGTATTGCCTTGTTTAAATTGCTTTTTAAAATTAGCTTAATGCGAATATTTAGAAGTAGACAAAGTATAACACCCACTAGGTCCTCTTTTAGCCAATCTGTATATGGCGAAAATAGAGAATCATCTACTCAAAAACGTAATCAATGGACTCTCATTCTACTGTAGTTATATAGACGATACTTTTATCTTGCATAATAATAAAATCCACGTCGAGGCCCTTCCCCAAACGTTCAGTATGGCTCACCTACAAACTGAGTTCACAAATGAAAAGGAAAAAGACAACACCTTATCATTTCTTGATGTCCTGCTAACAAGAAGGCAAGATGGCAGTATTAAAAGGGGTATTTTCCGGAAGAAGTCATGGGTTGGTCAACACACCCATTTCAAGTTGTTTGTTCCGCTTGCATACAAATGAAATCTTATCAATACCTTGGAGGATTGTACTAGAAAAATCTGAACAACTGACATTCTAGACGATGAAACAAGGAAAATAGGAAACTATTTATACGAAGACGGATACCCCGAAAAATTTGTTAAAGTCTCGATGAGTAGAACAGATACAAAGAAATGTTTGCAAACTGTGCAGGAGAAACACATATAGATGACTTTACCGTTTAAAGGACACGCAGCAACTGAATTGCTGGCACTGAAACTTCGAAAATTATGGCTAAAACATTCTTTGCCACAACATTTTGTTTAAAATTCGCCACTGGTTGTATAATTCCAATGCAGGTGAAGGAAAAGCTACCGAGTCTGGCCACTTCAATGTGCATTTATGAATTCAACTATTAATGTGGAGACAGTAGCGTAAGTAGAACGACTCGGTAATCCCACCGTCGCCTTCTGCAGCATTGTCCAACGTGGTTAGACAGAGGAGTCGTAAAGTCACTCAGAAGTTCCATACTGGTAACAGTGGATAGGAGCACAAGATTGACAAAAAATTCAGCTTTTACAATTCTATCCAGGGTGCCACTTCAACTCCTTAGGTCGGTACGTCTTCGGTTGCTAAACATAGCTAAGGTAGTTGCCATAAAGGTTTTTCAACTCAATCTCTGTGTTCAGGAAAAGTTTGTTCAATCTCTCTTCCTCCCTCGGAGTTTCCCACCCCCCAATCTAAAATAGTTATCTCTCCCGGTGACGCTCAAATACTGTCCAAGACGTCTGTCTGTCTGTTAACGAAAATGAGGAACCTTTGCACTTTACGCAAAGTGTCTTATGGCAACATTTCTTTTTCGTTGAAAGGGATGTCAAATAAACACGCACGTTTGTGACCAAACATCCATATTGACGTATCATGCTTTTTATTTTCAACAAACACCTCTCAGTTTTAAGATACAAACTTAAGACTATCATGCCGTATTGTAGGTCATGAAATTCAAATCCAGTGGCTGAATAATCAACACGATTACCTCGTAACCTGAAGTATAGTGATGGGTGCGCACTTCGGAACAGCACAAACTATGACGAAACAGCTGTCCGGTGCTATTTGATTTCAAATGTTTCTCTAAATGATATATACATATAGGTTCACTTCAGTCATCCCTAACATATTTTTGCCAAAGCATTGATTACTTTGGTTGCTCCATGTTATGGCAGAAAAAGAAACATTTAACCGAAGCAGGGAAACACGATTGTGGCTTGCGCTACTGAAAAATCTTATCAGTAGTATATAAAGAGATGTTCAACGGAATAAAAATATCAAATAGCAAGGAGATAGACTTGATGTCAGAGAAAGCAGATGATTCAGCGTTGCCAAAATACATGGGAGACTTGAAAGGAAGACAAAGAAACACAATATGAAGGAAGGACAGAAGTAGCACAACACGGAAGACCTGTGCAAATGGTGCGTTGATGATATGGTATACATAATTTCGCTATATAGCGATACCAAATTCCAAATAAACATTCCTCTACCAAGTCTCTGAATTTCCTACCGTTACACTGTGACATAGAAGTTTTGAAATTTTAGTAGTGAATTAATCCCCCCTTCTTGATTATAATGAATAAAATCTTATCACATTATTATCTGTAAAATAAACTAGCTTAGTTTAAGATATTTTTTCCACAACGTCAATAGAAAATAAGATATGCCTTATACAATGCCGACTAAATACATCATTATAAAAAAAGTTTCTGTATTCATCAAATATGACGTATTGTGGCAAAACTTGGATAAAACTATTTAACGTACCTTTTTTGCCAGAGCGTACAGCATACGCGCACTGACTGCTGTAGTATGAGTACGTAATAAATTTTTTTCAGCCTCTTTCATCGACCATTCTGACTGATAACCTCGACTACCGAAAGCACCTTGAGTATGCACAGTACGAACCTTATCAACATAACTAGCATCGACTGTTTTGTTTACATCAGTGAACATAGGATCTACGAAAACAGTAAAACGAAGGGTATTAACATAGATGATAGGATAATGTCAGTTAGTAGCTGTTTGAAAATAACAGAAAGTAATCAGACCGTGCATGCGTCGGTGGTTCATTGGTAGGATGATTGTCGGACCGACACACTACTAAACCTCGTTTAGCCGACGGCAAGCAGGGTAAAGAAGGGGAAGGTTGAATGTGTGAGACAAGCAACCCCAATCCGGTAAAAATAACACCACAGCTAATAAAACTTCACAACTCAAGCTTGAAGCCACCTGCGATCAACTGGGAACGAAAAGGAATGCGAAAATGCGACTATTCGTTGAATGGTTGCAGTTCCACAGTGAGAGATCGTTAATTTAAAAAAACTCTAAATAAAACGACATAAGTCTCAGAATCTGTTTGGAATAGTCACCAAGGATGACACTGACAGCTCTGCCTTACCGATAAATAAGTGGGATAAATATCACTATAATACCCAGCATTATATTACTTAATAATCCAAAATGCTATACATTGTGCATCTGGAACTTAAGTAAAATGTGATGCGCAAAAAGTAAAAGAAATGGAAAGATTATAAAAAACGCTATAAAACTGAAGGAATGTGATGACTGACTAACTGGCTGGCTTCAACGTAGAACTTCCCGCAGATATGCAGCAGTTCGAGTTGCCACACGTCATGTAAGTCTGGCATAACTTCCCTACTTGGGCATTGAAGTCGCTTGCTAAAACGACTTTATCTGAGCGCTTCACTTTTTGCAGCAAATTAGACAGTTTCTGGTAAAGATCATCCTTTACGTCATCTGAACTGCAGTCTACTGGGGCGTAAGCGGAGGCTATGTAAGGACAATGACGGGTGACGCCATCCTTCCTTCTTCTAACAGACCTGTTCAGACTAACCACACACATACGACCATTTACTGGGATCCAGTCAAGCAGTGATTTTTCTACCTTGACAATCAATGCTATCCTTACACATGCGAGTTTTCGCGAACTAGCTGTGGAGTCTCTCGACACCCTTAAGGTAAATTTTGCTGATTCACCTTGTTGGCTGGGTGGGGTTAAAAAAATAAATACACTCACGGCTTGTATGCGTGTCCCTGAAACATAACATACATTCATTGTTTGAGATGCTAGAGTTCTGAGTCGTAATGCCTACTGTCCGATTTGGCAGAGGGTCCTGACGCTAAATGCCCCAATATGAAGTTGGCAGTGTAGCTTTAAGAGACTATCGGGGATGTTTTTGTAGCTCTCATCGTTTTTGTGGTCACATAATGAAATGAAGATGACCGACCAGCCTGAGGAACTGATGACAGTAGTAGGGAAGCAGGATGATGAGGACGACGTGGATAAACCAGAATGATGATTAGGAGGGCTTCATGTGCTTCCGGAAGTGTGTGGGCGGTTGTTACTTCCCGGCTGCCCACACCATGGAAGTTGATTGATTCTTTGGGTACCTGAAACAGAAAAAGAATTAGTGCTGCGTGACCGCAGAGCCCAGGGGACAGCTGCTTGAAGTCGGTCACAAACGGCCTGTATGAACCTACTTTTTGGTCTGGTTCCGTATTAGTAACTTACCGCCGGTTACGGACCACTGTAGATTAATTCGGGATGTACAATTTTTGGGGTCGACCTTTTCCAACCCCCTCTTTCCAGAGAAGAGACAGCATACTTGGGATCTGAGGAAAACACCTTACTGCTGTTACATCCCTGTCCCCCAGTAATACGACTATGCCCACAGACCCCCAGCATAGTGTAAAAACAAAAATTCTTACACTATGCCGGTAACTGCTTTTAATCTAATCGTTATCCTAACAATTTCGCCGGTATGGTAGGACCCGCAGGAACATTAGTTCCAGCCAGTGTAGCTTGTTGGTTCTCTGCTATATGCAAGCCCGACCACCACGTCATGGTAGCGGTTATCGGTCGGGAATGTGATATTAAAATTGAGATAAATATTAGGGCATGGACGCTGATCCACACCATCCAGAGTTTGAGAGTATAAATGTCAGGGGATGGACTAGTGCACATAAGATCAACATCCCAATAATTGGATTAATTTAAAGAATGCACTGAGTATATTTTATTTAATTAGCGGGATCTCGTATTGATTTCAGTGGTACTCACATGTCTCACGTTCTGGTACACTCATGCGTACCAATGATTATTATCATAGCGGCTAAATTGCATGGGCTCCAATAAAGTAAAGCACTTTCGTCTATACGGATGAAAAACAAAACACTCCGAGATCTTATCGATTGGCACCTTATCTCAATTTGACTACTGTTCAGTTTGTTCTTACCTTGTCTCATTTTAACCAACACAGAATGACAAGGTAAACAGATATTCTCGCAAACTTCTCCACAGTTTAGAAAGTTAAGTTAAGCACGAAACCCTAGGTCAAAGGCTAATTGTTGATTGCCTCCAATCACCTAATATTAGGGATTTCAGCTCACTGAACAAGTTTCCAGTTGCATGAACTATAACCTCCTTGAGTTGCTACATAAACCAACTACAAGCTAACACTGTTTATTAGATTTTTCTTTTTTTGTCTTCTCCTTCCCCCACCCTTTCGTTTTCTATTTTGAAAGTATATACATTGATGGTAACTTAAACTTAAACCAAGAATTGTAATGCTTATATTTCGGATATGTTGGTTTTATAATGTTTTCTCTACTACTATTTAAACATTGGAACAGTTTGCAGCTGATGAGAACCTATGAAATGGAATGATGCTATCATTTCATCCTGCAAATCTAATCTTTCTTTATAGAAAAATAATAATTCCCTCTCAAGCGTTTGCGTTCCAAGTGGAACATAAGGGGCTTCAAGCTTGAGTTGTGAAGTTCCAGTAACGGTGATGTTGTTTTAAGCGAATGGGACTGCTAGTCTCACACATCCAACTTTTCCTCATTATCAGGTATACACTTCTGGCTAGGTGAGGGGTGTAGGAGATTGTCAGTTAGAAATAGAACCCTGAATCACGAGCGTAATTGGAGACTATTCCCGCCAATGAAACATCGACGTACAATAAGAGTAATAGTAATTATTATTATTATAAAGAGGGGAATAATGAAAATTCTTCAAATGAACAAATGAATAAACTACCTGAAACGAAAAATGTATCATGAGCATCTCGAGCAGGGTGTTGTTGAGGCTGGAAAAGGCTATCGAAATTCCAGAAACTAGATTCAACATAATTGTTTGTTGGCATTTCAGAAAATCTAATTTATCAGAAAAATGAGAACAAAAATAAATAAACTAAAGTAAACAAAAGTTCACTAGTTGTTTGTTTAGATTAATTTGAATTTTGTCCGACCCCTCACCCACCGTCTCCGCACTTTGACTTATTTATACTAGACAAAAATAGGTATTGAATTCCGACCTCAGCGGGAACACTGTCACTCACTGGGGATGTGCAGGGGGATATCTCTTCCTGACGATTTTGAATTAGGACGAAATGCGCCCTGTGAATTCTACCGCTAATGACCCCCATTAATCGAATAGAAAGTCACTAGTATTGCAAAAATCGCACCACAGCAGCAAACTGTAACCAATTATGTTTGTGTATAATAACAATTCATATAGCCACTGACTACCTGTTTAGCCGTATGTGAATCACTTTAGTTTGATGTACTAGTTGGGGTTTATGAAGCAGAAATAATATATCACTATGCATTAAACGTTTATCCTCTTATTCATCGTGAAACTTTACGCAGACACATTTAACAGACCAATAACTATGCTAAATTGCATACCATATTAGATAAGTTTATTTGATTTAACACATAGGCTGATACAATATTAATAACTGGATGACGTTTCGAGCACAGCTTTGTCTGCATGCGTACCACAGGACAGCGTCAAAAGCTTTGAAATTGCTTATCTTTAACACACTCCTGCTGTGTAAATCGATTATTAGGAGAATGAATTGCGTTTTTTTCCAGTCAGTAAACACACTTCAGCGTCTAGTTCTATAGAGGATAAAACGACAGCAGTTGCAGAAATACTGAATATCAAGGGGATACCTAATTAGGGAGGAAATCAACAATTTGGACAAAAAAATATCCAGAAGATCCATCTCAGAACCACGCCAGTACGCATTCAACAATTCAGATTTTCCAAATAGTAGTTGGGTCATCAAGTCTAGTTTTCCTTTTTTCTTCTTCTTCTTCCAAGCGCATGTGCTACTGATATGATTTACCCGTAGTATATAACGAAACGTTCATCGGCATAAAAACATCAAATAGTAAGGAGATAGACTTGATGATTCAGAGTTGCGGAAATACATGGAAGACGTGAAAAGAAAGACAAAGGAACACAATATGAAGATTAGAAGTAGCACAACACGGAAGACCTGTGCAAATGGTGATTTGAAGATAACGTGTACACAATTTCGCTATATGGAGATATCAAACTCCGAATAAACATTGTTTTACCAAGCCTCCGGTCTTCTACAGATACAATGTGACATCATCATCATATAGCTGTTGAATGATGTTGACAGAGGTTTGTGGCGTTCAAGTAGTGTCGAAGCGGTCAACGCTGTCGAAGTTCCTTTTAAAGTCAATGAATTTGATGTTAGATTCATTTGCTTCTATGATCATCACAATCTTATATTCAATATTACAAAACTAATCCATTTGCATACTACTGATGATGGATAGTGTAACACAAAGGAATCTATAACAATTCAAAGCCAAATAGAGAAAGTAATCAAACAAACAGAAATACACTACACACTATTGTTTAAAAACTTGACAAATTAACTACTAAAGAATAAGAGAAATTTTGAAACAAAGAATTTAAACAAGGGATGAACAATTTATCTGTCTAGCGCGTACTTCAGTGAAGGCGTAGCAGTTATTTAATCCAGTGCGAGTAAAAACAATAAATTATTCACAAACACGTACAGTGAGCATACAATTATTTTCTTCACACAGGAAAGGTTATGTAAAAAACGTACCCCATATCACAAAGTATCCTGCAGAATTCTGCGCGAACACATAGAAGGGGATGTAAATGTCCAGATGGTAGAGTAGCACCAAGAGCATCAAAGTTGTAAGCTTTAAATCTGGCTGTTTGCCATTCTCCACTATAAGCAAAAATAAATAATAGTAGTTTGAAATTTTCTTTTACATTCTATTATAATACAAACTATTTTTTAAAGATACAAACACAAACTGATAAAAATAAAAGCCTTATTGTCATGTGACAACAAGGTGTAACAAGTTATCTTTAAGGACTTTAACAGCAGATTCTCTCTACATCGCATTCATTTATCAGTTTGGAGCTGCTGTACTTCGTGACAGTCTCTGCACCATCTGACACGACATGTGTTAACAAGCACGCCAGGGTAACAATAGACGAAGTGATGTCTGAACCACCCAATCTGGGATGGTAGATTTCTTATTGTAGTGAGACAAACTGCTGGCCTCCGATGGGCATAATTTTGAATGAAATGCCAATTCCAGGATGATGCAAATACACCGTGTTGATTTTAAGTAAATTTGACAATGCTTTGTATTACTGTTCTACACAAAACGTGATAATAGTAAATAGGACACCTCTGACTCCTCCAGAAATCAACACCAAAAATCTAGGAGTATTAAGAAAAATATGATAGTACTTACACATTTGAGTTCTATCCTAATAATTGGCAATAGTGTTTATTTAGTTAAGTCTTTATTTACTCATTATTACTTCACCAGTATTTTCTCAAGCATGGGTACTTAGAAGTTGCAACATCTACTGGAAGGGTTGATATATTTCTGAGACCATGAAGACATGCAACTACTGAGGGACATTTGATAATACTAATGAAAGCAATTTAAGTTTAAAACAAAAATAATCCTAACCAACTGTCCTTAAATTGCCCTTGTCCAAATGAGACAAAGTAGAACTTCTGATAGATTTAACTTGACCTTTTCCAAGCCATGAAGAAAGATGCTCATTAATACGTTTGTTGAGCTGTCTAGTTGTTTGTCCTATAATAACTTACTCCACAGGAGCAGCTAAATTTGTAAATACACGTAGAAAAGGCACAGCTAGACAGCTTGTCTTTCACTTGAGCAATCATAATTGGTTGGTTGGAAAGTGACAAACAAAGAGTGGCGGCAGTATAAGTTCATTTTATTGCCCTCGATATTTTTACATGTAGGACCTCACTAGCCACGTCCCCATTAAACTGAAATTTTGGGAACATTTGTTTCATTTTAAATGTTGTTAGTTCCTTTAGTATTGCTTAACTTTTAAGATTTGACCTAATTTATTTATTGAATTGTCTACATATACACATATTGTTAAGTGAGTTCGCATATCGTGATGACACGTCAAAGCTATATTGACTGGAATAACTGATGAGTAAAATCTCAGTATTCCATTCCAGTAAACTGTTAATCGGTGAAACCAATAGAAACAGTAACAGTAACACATTTAATGTGGATTTGTGGTTTTTCAGTTTTACATATTGATCGAAATGCACCAATCACGTAATCGACTTGGTCTCTAAATTAGGTCATACGAAATTACTGAGCGATATTATTATCATTATTACGCATTCCTTGCGTTCCGAAGGGAAAATAGGGCTTCAGTGGCACATTTCAATTCCATGCAGTCGCCTTTGGCAGGCGCTTGTTCAACCTATCTCTTCCCAATTCAGGTTCAACTCGAAGGTCTGATATGTAGTGTTACACAACGGTCTCCTCAGCGTATGTCCAGTCCGTTCCCATTTCCCTTTGCATATCTGTTGGCCAATGGGATTATTGACTGGTCCACTGCTTGGTGGAGTTCTTTATTGCTTATCTTTTCTGGCCAGTCATTTCATCTTCAGTGTCGAGCGAAGGCAGTAGACTATTGGAAATTCCTTTGGTGACACGTCAATTCTCTGAATCATACAGAAGAACTGATTTGATATTAGTGTTGGAAATTCACATCTTCGCACTGAGCAAAACAGTGCACTGCCAGGGGTTCAGGTGAACTGATGCAATTTACATACACTACTCATCATGTGGATTAACTATTTCCAGCATTCAATGATAGTTAATTACCTTTCAAATTTTTGAGAAGAATGAATTAGAAAGAACATATCTCTCTTCTAGATAGATCTATTGTCAGCAGTAAGGAATTTCGGAGGGTAAATCCAATTCGACTCGATTTAAAACACAGTAAGCAGTTATCTCTTCAGATTCACAGTTATAATTACAGGTGGATAACACTTCTAAAGCTAGTTTATCACTTTAGGTAACATATATGCTTGTGAGTATTTGAGTCTTTCCTGACTACCACACAGTTCCTTTACTTTAATTCTCGTTAGCTTACCTCTATACCTTCTGTCCTTCTATTAAAACTGATGTGTTTTAAACTAGTTTTTCTCTTAAATGACTAAACTTTAGCAAATGAAAAGACAATCTGCCTTACAACTCGAGTCAAACAGTCAGAACTTCCCATTCAGTTCGGGTGAATAACTCACCTAAAGGCTCTGTTGAATACAAGGATACCAAATGGAATAAAAAAACTTTAATGTGACCTATTCATACCATCTGTAAATTTTCTAGGACGTTATTGGAACAATAACCCTTGTTTGTGTTAATGAACCAAAAAGAGAAATCTTCGTTTATTTGCTTGTCGCGTAAAATAATTAAGGCAGATTTGACTGGTGGACATGTCAATGTAGCAATTTGCCCAAAACACCATCAGTCTTTACGAGGTGGAGGTGTACCTCGCATAAGTGAAAAGTCGAATGCAAACATCCGAGGTTTACATGAGGACTGGTAGGCATGCTGGTGTATCTATGGGAGCTGGAAAACCATGGTTCCGAACCTATGGTGTACAAGGGCTTAAGAATGGCGTGCGAACTTGTTTTGGTCACCAGAAACCGAGGGAACGCAGCTCTTGATGCCGCCCCACCGCCTTGTGGATCAGACTTCAAGTCAAAGGTTCAAGGATGGCCTCTGAAAACAGCTACATGCTTTGGTCTGGGCGTCTGGACAGTATTCCAAACGTCGCACAAATTATGAGATTTTGTGTGGTGTATCTCTTGGTCCCCGTAATGTACCCAGTTTGTTGCCAAACTTAGAAAAAGTAGACGATATAACACAAAATTACTACTAGTAGGAGTGCGCGAGAATTTAACGAAGAATAGTAATGTTAAGAATTTCATATAATGACAGAGCTAATACATTTACGACGATAAGAAAAACTCTTAGCAATCAACCAAAGGTCGATACTCTCTTCAACTAGTGATTCCTGGCACCACAAGAAGTTCAACCACATAACTTACACCTTCCTATGTGGCTCAGACCTATATAATCAGTGGCATCATAAGCTGATGTCCCATTTTTATCTGACCACTCCTAGTTCTTTTCCAACCTAGTCAAAAACTATTCACCGAGAAAGGCTGCGACTCAACACGCGTAGCACATATCCTGGTCAATTCAATCATCAAAGTTTCATAACCAATTCATCTATCTACTTGCCTATCCGGTCTACACCTAACTTAATTATTACTTAGTATATTGCGCTGCCTAACACAAATAAATGAACAAAGATACCTCCCTCTGGTCAGATATCTTCAACATTTTCCTTTCTTGTACTTCTAGCAACTACAAACCAAAACTTCGCTCACCTTGATAGTAAGTCAGATGATAAATCTGTTTCTTCTGCGCTTAAATTTGTAGAAAATGAGGGACCTTGCCGGACCAAATACAACGTACGCTTTCTGGAGAAACAAGAGAAAGAGGGGAGAAAAAAGTATACCGATGGTGAAAATAAGGCAGACATACGATTCAGTGACTAGTTTTCTTTTCTTTAGCTGTGACTTGTCATTATCCGATAGCGAACATGTGGACTGTTTTACTTCCAATAGTAATTGCTGCACATCATCTTTCACTTCAGGAATCTAGTATAAATATACTTCAATATGTAATGTACTCACCAAACGATATAAATACGGTGTACCATCTTCAGTTTTTGTTAATTTTATCCACTTTAAAGCAAGTGCTTTACTAATGCCTATTTTAGCACTGGGAAATATTTTCTGTTGAATTGTGCAATTTGAAGTATGAGATAAAAACAAACCAATATATCACTTTGTGCTACACCTGACTCAGGGACTGCACAATACACTCGATATTCGTGACTACCATTGTCCAATATCTCTTTGCCTTCTTCTGTCAGTAATAAAAGCACTTCAGTAATATTTTCACACTTTATTATCTATTTAAGGAAGTTTTTTCTGTTAAAAAATATGGTAGGAAACATACTCCGTTATAGTTTTCTAAGCTTTTTATCCCTCCAACAATCACCTGATGATCGACTCCAAGTTTATTCGCCAATACGTCTGATCTGAATTCATTTGTAATATCTAACTCGTGAAGTATTGCACTCTGTATATCCATCAGGAAAACTGCTTTGTTATTAAGCTTGATGTGTAGATAAACAGCTGATGAGAGTAGAGGGAATCATTCAAATGATTTAATGATAATGGTAACAGTAATAATAATAATAATAATCACTTTATTCTGAGACGAGACTCTACAGTGTGAAAACACAAGGTAAAACACGCTTGTATTAAAACTTTATGTGATATGATTAAATGTATCATTATCGGAAAGATATCAGCAAAATACGATCGAGAGTTATGGTTTACTAACTGAACTTGAGAAATCTTTTAAATACAAAAAGAAGGAAAACAACAAACTAATAAAAATCAATATTCCGGATAATCACAACGCATCAAAGCGAAGGAAAGAAAATGATATTGTTAGATAATAAACAATTTAAAGCAATAAAAGAGGAATATTGAAAGCTTTAAAAATTTTATCGTCTGTACTTAGCGGGCTTATTTCTTCACTCAATTTGTCCTGTTATACAACTATGAAGCAGAGAGGCTAAAGCTAGAAAACATTACGGTTTTCTGACTGTAGTTGCTTTCTTAAGTAACGTCAGTAACACTACCTAAAGAACTCAAGCTATGGGAATGTGAGTCCTCCCCAAATAGTGTAGCCTGGATATATAGTAAATACTTTGAAACACCACTTCATACAAGCAATGAGGACTGAAGGAGAGTTAGGTTAAATGTGAATTGTAAGTAGTCATATCAAAATGTTACATCGACTCACAAAGTGTCTCATTGTTCTTCGAGACAAGTGAGGAGCAGGTTTTCAGGTAGTGGCTCTCAAGATTTTATGAATGAATCACAGCCGATTCACGGTGATACATCAAAATCACTAGCCATTATGTAAATGCATTTACTCTTTATTATATGCTAAACTTTGAATATGTAATTTCCCATTTTTTTCTACAACAGCTTCCAGTCACTGTGGTATTGTTTTACATCTGGTCACTTTACGTAAAGGGTTCTAAAATGCAGCAACTTGAGCCGGTGCATTTCTTCAGATGTAGCACTTATTTCTTTCAAATAGCGTTCTTGATAAGCAAATCCTACCCCTAGATAATATCTTTACAAGACAGTAATAGTAGCACTACTTGGTACACTTATGTCACCTTCATAAGCGATTTGATGTACCAGAATACAGTTAGCTGTAGACACAGCTATAACGGCTGCCAATAACCTGAAACCAATAGTCAGTAAGAGCCAGTGGATTTCTACTACCTCACTAGGATATAAATTACAGCCATTCATCTTTTTCTTCAAATTTTACAAATTCAACGCTGATAGCCATAAAACTGAAAAAGTTAGACTAGTCTCTATTCACTTGAGAATTGTGACAGTGTGTGGAAATATCAATCGTCCCTAAAGTCTAGTGGTTGAACAAAGTAGATTTCTTAGGGAATGTATTTCGAATCAATAATACATAACAGAATTACTGTTTGTTTAGTCTTTCTAGTGCTTTTCGAGTCCAATTTTATTGTTGTCATGAATTTTTAAGAATCAAGCATACTAAAATTATTTGATAGCCGTAAAAGAAGAACTGGAGAAATGTATACAAATCAAAACATGGTTTCAAATGTCTGTTCAAGCCATTTATGGGGATATAGACTGCCTAATTAGTGTCATCGAGACACCAAGAACCAAAAGCAGAAGATAGTTGGTGATATGCATCAAAATTGTTCTCGGTAACATAGATGCATCCACTCTTCATGAACTCCTAGATACATCAAATTCCCTTTATTGTTCATGTACTTATTCTTCCTCCCACACATATTCTTTCATTATTATTTCTTTGAATTCTCTTTTTGTTTGCCCTATTTGGTGTGGCGACTGGAACTGCTGCACTTCAATGCAAAGTTTGGCATTGAAAACTGAATCAGTCAGACCATGAGTCAATATAAGTTGGTTTTACAGTGTCATTTTACACTAGACAGTGGGGAAACGCATCCCAAATGTACTCAGACTTTCACTTGTATTCATCTTCAAATTAGAGAACATCCTTTGTAATCTACACCAACGAGACTTTTTCCTAATAGCAAACGGATTCGCAAAATATCAATGGTCAGAGTCAAATCCATCAGTATATTTATAATGATATTAGATGAATGGTGACAGTAGGTTACCCTGACAAACACCACCAGTAATTTTTACTTTAAATGACAACTTTCCATTAGCTCTTACACTAATTAATGATTTAGATGATGGTGTTAATGTCAGTAAAAAGTTTGAGCATTATGGAATAGATCAAATAAAGTATAATTATATTTCAATAGTTTACACACAATGATAAGTTTTGTTATTGGTAATATTTCGAGCCAAATTACTGCCCGTGTTCACACCACTGTTGGAATTGTTTTGTTCGATTCTACAATTCCAACAGTGGTGTGAACACGGGCAGTAATTTGGCTCGAAATATTACCAATAAAAAAACTTATCATTGTGTGTAAACCATTGAAATGTAATTATGCTTTAGATGATGGTGGTTCGACTAGTACAACATACTTTGCTGGTAATCTCTTTCCAGCCACATATCTGGACTAACGGCGTCAAATGCAGCCTTCAGGTCAAGAAACATTACGTCACTAGGCAGGTCTGAGTTCCACAACCTGTCAAATACTGGGGAGACGAAAAATGTCCAGGCCTGAATCCTGCCTGGTTTTTACAGGGATTTTTATTGAGACCCGCTCAATATTCACAAGACCATGAAAATCAAGATCGTAGATGCTACATTAGTCAAATTGATCAGTTCGTCACTACTACATGGAGGTTTTTCCTTATAATTTGGGACGGCGATCCACAGTCATCATATAGAAGTCATGAATTTCCATATAACAGCTAGTGCACTTTGATACTTAGTAGAGATGTAACATACTCGATTCAGCCAATGAACCCCGTGTTCAGATCCCGCTCGAGCTAATGCAGCCTGGCAACTGGGTATCATAATCAGAACTCACATATGAAGTGTGAGTCATAGTTTGGTATAGGAGGAATGTGTTCTGGGCAAATGATTTCGAAAAAACTTTGCTTAGTATGCAAATACCCTACTAAACGCTGTTATTTATATTAGTGGTCTCAATGGTATCCAAACCCGAGATTATACCCAGCTTTTCTTTAGCTGTATCCAATATGTCTTTATGGAGGATTTCGTCAATTCACTTTATTCACAGACCATATCCACAGGGAAGATTCCATGTGTTTTACTTCGGAGAGAAAACTAACAACAGATGGAGACTCGGACTTCATACCAATTACAGGTTTGTAATGGCACTGTATTCGTAAAGTATATGACATCGCTTTACAAGTGACCTGTTTCTATGCCACGTGACGAGAAGGAAATAATCGATTGTGACAATGACTAGATGATAACATTTCGTGGCTCCACTTCTTTCCTGCGGTTTGCCGTCCCTGGAATTCCTTACCGGCAGATGTAGCTATGGCACCATCTGTGGACTCCTTTAAGAGAAGGCTGAACAACCATGCAGCGACAAAAGGACTGCATCCAAATGGCCTATCCCCTTAAAATCGCATACACCATTCAAAGGTAGACAATTAAACTGGTCGTTTTACTTCCTTACATTCTCTTCCATCTTAATCTCCTGGCAGCTTTAACTTCACCTATTACTATTATTATTACTGGTATACAAATATATATATATATATATACCGGTTGACTGACTGTTGTTACGTTTTCTTATTCTTTTTCTCTGTTAGTCTGAATAACTTCACTAATTATATCTATTATCATTATTACCTCTTTTCTATTGACGACGATACCGAAGGACCAACTGGTGAAAGGATCAACTCCATTCACAGTAGTAACAGTCTTAACGCACTTCATACTACAAACCACATAATTAATCCCTGCACTACTCCTTTTGGAGTCAACCAAAGCTACGGCAGTCGAGTGGCGGGACGAGCTACGCAGAATTTTACCAAAGATCAGGAACCTATACCTCACAATCAAGAGGCGAGCACAAAGAAATCAAATTGGTTAATACTAGCTCGTAAAAACGATATTGGATATTGCAACACGCGAGCCCTATGTCATCATAGAATGGAAAGGCCAAAACGAAACACGCCGATCAGTGCATAGCACTTGTATTAGGTCGTATGTAGAAATATCTACATTAGTAAGGTTCAACTAAAGAAATACAGCTCAAGCCCCTGCTGGCTCAGTAAAATTCAGACCAATAAAATCAATTGGCAGCATCACGAATTAAATATGATTATAGTTTCCTAATCAGAAGATTTACTTTGAGAGAGCACACTATTACAAGAATTTCGGGAAAATGTCCCTGAATTTCGCCAATTTCATATAAATTTCTTACCAGGGAAAAATTGTGTTATTTACTCATCCGACCCACTAAATCACTATACAGCCACCTCGTCGAAATTTGTATCTAGTTGAATGCGAATTATGTTGTGACAATACGGTCCCTCGAACTTTTACGACTGTTGAGATCCAAAATCCTGAAGAATCTTTAGATTCTTTACATGACAGAACTGTCTTGTGACGGTACTATGTTTAGATAAGAAATCTAACTAGAGAAAAAAATTTTCTCCCATAAATCTCACATGGAAAAGGTACTTTTTATCCAACAATCACAATGAATATCTACGCAAATGAATGAAACCTTGACTACGTAAACCACGCCAACATACCTTTTCAAGGTTAAACCACAAATTTGAAAGTTTTCTAGGTCATGTCAAACTAACAATTCCAAAATGAAGGTCCTGAAAACAAATCCTGATCTGATTTGTATGTACAAGACTTTCTGGTTTCACCTTTCTATAATTTCTGGACTCATTCTGCTGAAAGAGATGACTAGGGACTCCTACTTCTCCTCTGTACCTTGGCTCAAAGCAATAAAAGGGAAAAGAACAGTAAGTTCAGCAAAGATATCTTTTCGGCAATTTCATTCTCAAAAGCTGCACAATCGCATTTAAATGCATAAGTTTACATAGACACAACCACATAATTACAAATGCGAATAAAAGGTGACAATTTTTTCAGCTTGAAATGGATTATGAGAGGATTAGAAACAGAATTTAATCAGGAACAGAACAAATTACAGGTGTGAACAAAATGAACATGGAAAAAAATTGAAATCACAATTTTCAAATCGAAATTGAAGTTAGGGGGTATGAATACAGGTTACAAGTGGCTTAGAAGCAAAAACTGCACAGGATTAGTACGCAAATGTAAAATAGCTATTCTAAACGAATTACAAGTGTGAGTAGGAGGAACATGGAAACAAACTTAAAATAACTGCTCTTATAATTGAAGAAATAGGATAAATTGAATGAAGGCAAAGAGAGAAAAATACACACAAGACCCCAAGGCTTAGGGAACATACCAAACTAGGTCCACGGTGGTTGTAAAGGCTGGGATAGTTTTTTTGAACACACAGCTCCGGCTTCTCGATGCATATGGAGAGGGCTTCTGCAGTACAAAAAGGTTGGAAACACATTGCCTTTGGCAGATTTGCTTTGTAAATGACTCTGGATGGTGAGTCAGTTGAGATGCTGTGAAAAATATTGACGAGGTGTTCAGTTATGATGCTTCTGATTGAGCCGGCGCTTTCTCTTTGCAGCCATGCTGGATGATGTTGTCTAACACGTTTTGATAAGACCCACAAAGAACAACTTATGTACCTAGCTCCGCAAGAGTAGATGAAATGATGTATGCACACTGAAGTGGTCATATGCGGAAGTCTGTCCTTCCCGTTTCTCCGAAGTAGTGGGCGGCTAGAGAATATCACTCTTAGAGTTGCTTCAGGAAAAGTCTTCCTCAAGGAATTGGAGATTCTCCTTTTAAGGATATCTGTTGCTAGTTCTGTCCTGAATTACAGATCCAAATAAAATGTTTTGGCTTTGGTTTCGTGTTCTTATCCTCAAAACGTGGTGGGTATCTATTTTGAACCAGGATGCTTTTGAGAAATAGTAGCTCTTCTTCTAAACAGTCATCGCTTCAGATTCTTCCGGTACAGTGGGCTAGCGAGATGATGAGAGCTCTTTTACGGCTGAAAGGTATCCAAATGTAGAAAATCGTCTGTTGCCCGTTCCATGTTGGTTTTCTACAGATAGATCTTTTCAGGGTCCCGTCATCTCTTCTTGTCAATCCGACGTCCAGAAATGGAATCTTGGATTCATTTTCAACTTCCATTGTGAATTTAATTGAAGGATGGCAGTTATTAAACTCCTGTAATATACAATTTAAATGAGAATCGTGCTGACAAACTATAAAAGTGTCATCGATGTATCTTTGGTACAGCGGCAATTTGTCCATTTTTGATTTTAAGATCTCGTTTTTCAGGCTGGCCATGAAGCAGTCTGCCAAAAGTGGGCCAGGGGGAGAGCCCATAGCAATCCCGTCTTTCTGTCTATAGATGACGTCGTTGAATGTAATCTGTAAGCAAAGTGTGCTCCTTAATAACATCTCTTTCATACATGAGGTTGGTATTCTGATGTTCAGATTCTTGTCATCCATATATTTGCAATGGAAACAGATTGTGTCCGTGAAAGGCACATTTGTAAATAGAGATTCTACGTCAAGTGAGGACATTCATTTGCCGTTTACATTCAAGTCGTTTACGCATTCAGTAAATTCAAAAGTATCTCGGAGAGAGTACTTACAGAATTGTCTCACAAGCTCTAGCATCTCGGATGGTCATCTGACGGTCAGAAGGTATGGTGATCCTGCCATGTCTAAAATTGGTCGAAGCAGTAGACCTGCTTTTCGCACCTTTGGTATACCGCATATTCTAGAGACAATTGATCCTGTTGGTCTCAGGCATCCAAGCAGGTCATCAATTATGAGGCATTCGTCCTTCTTTTCCTGAAGACATCTGTCAGTCGCTGTTCCATCAGTTTTTTCTTATTCTTCTCATTGTTTGACCTTGAAAATTTACTGCCATCGGAGATGAGAACCGTCAATTTATTGATATACACATCTCTATCCATAAGGACCACTTCCGAACCTTTTTCTGGACGTTTAATGATTAGATCTTTGTTGTTTCTCAAGTCTTTAAGCTGTTGTTTGTGTTCTTTGGTCACGATGTGTAGGACTTTAGTTTTTTGAATAATAGCAGTTTCTACTTCTTGAGAAACTATTGCAACTAACGGACTAAATTAGTATTTTTATCTTTCTGCTACCGCCTCTACGTTTGTTTGGTCTACCGAAAAGTAAGTGATGATTTAATTCGCGCGTGTCATCTTTCATTATATTTTTCACTGAATCATTAGATAAATATTCTATCTGCAGCATGATTAGATCCATTTTTCTATTCCCTCCTTCTGTTGGGCCACAAAAGTACCTTCATTTTACATTGCAGCTTGCTTTTAGAAGTCTACAAACACTTTCCACCAATTGATATTGGTTAAGTGCGTAAATTCATCCTTCAAGTTTTGTCCTCACAAGTGATGCATACAGATTTCAGAACGAATGATACCATCTACATTACTTAGAGAAAATTACAGGTCCATGATACAGACACTCAATAGTATGGCATCGGTTTTAGGTCACAGCTTATTTCGACAGGTAGCCTGCATCTGAAGTTAAGACAGAGATTTTCTTATGAGATGGTAATAATTGCATACACAGTACTCATGACTGCGCATCGAACTACACTGGTGGGAGTCGACTGTTCTTTTGACAGGGTCAGCACACTCCTTAAGTCTGTTTGTAGAGTCTAGACACAGCCAGTGAATAGCGACCAGCAGTTAACTTGCTATTATGTTTAGGCTAATTTATGTTCTTTCATGGTAGTTTCTCGAACGAAATGCGTTTTAAACACAACCAAAAAGCTTCTAAAAACTGAAAAGACTAGCCGCTTTCAGTCTGCTGACTCAACACTGAGTTTTCATCAAATTTATTTGCACTTGCTGAATGTCAACATCCGGTGAAAATTGTTATTTATGGTAAGAAATACAAAATAATTCACATAAGTGGAACATATTTACCTTAATGGAGAAGTTTGTTCAGTATCGAGGTAATAAGGATTTCATGGGGCTCATAAGATTTCGCTATCAGAAAGGAGTTATTCTCTTTTTATTTTCCACAATCATTCAGTTCATTAAACATTCTAATGAAAATAAAGGGGAGGATATGTGTGCGAATAATGGAGCATTTGTGATATTATATACACATATGTTGAAAATAGATATTTCTATGAAGTCCGCACCACATTAATGCATTAACTATGCTTATCGTTTGTTGAGGTGAATAATGATATCCATTTAGCAGAAGTAATTTGAATGGAATGTCATATTTAAACGTGATTTCAGCCGGGTCTAATAATATCCTACTGTTAGTAGTCTTCAAATAGGTGACACGCAGAATTAAACTATGCTAAAGTGCAGTACATTAGGACGACAAAATAACCCATGAAGTCGATTGATATGGCCGGCTGGTACATAAGTATAAGCGGTGATGGTATTCTGTAAAGGGTTAAAAATTACAATGATAGCACAAAAAGACTAACTACGGTTTTCTTCCAGTCACTCAGTGGCTTACTTCGAAGCAGTGATGTTATAACCAGTATACGAATCATGTAAAACTTGAAAAATAAGCTGTGGATGACCTTTAAATGCATTCACAAAATTCCATTGGTAGTGTAGTTGTTCAGGTTTCTTTTCATCTGCGTTTCATTCAAACCGCATATTGATCCTTGTTTAGGAACATCTGTAAAATGCATTGATAATGCTAGGTAGTATAATAGGCATTAAATCTAACGCACTTCTTGTTATATATATGTGTATATATGGTGCATGCAACCAGATTAATGTTACCAGGATAGTCAACGCAAGACTAGCCTACGCTCTGAAGAAATAATGACGGTGTCAGACTTTGGCAGCATTTCACTCAAGCCTCACTGAGTACCCTATCTTTATCCATAATTATGCAGCGTCCTCGAAATGGTAAATAAAATGAATATTTGTAGTCGGCAGAAATCCATATATTTGCAACAAAATAGTAATCGACTAAGGAATAATTGAATATGTAAGACTACATGCTTACGCTAAAAATGATTTACAAACAGTGCAAAAATCTGCTGTTGTAGACTGTTTATTACTGCGTTGTAGTCATCGTAAAGTCTACTTACCATTAAATCCACAAGATCTGTGTCACTTTCCTTCAGTTGGTACAGATGTTGAACCGGTATTCGGTAGAAGACTACAAATGTTCCACTTCAGAGGACTATTCGTGGAGTTCTTGTGGCAAGAAGTGCTTCAGTTTGCTTTGGTCTAGTATACAATCTCCGTAATTTCAGTTCGGATTATCAAAGAATCTTCATCTGATTAACAATATTAGGGGAAACTAGCCAGAAAGCAGGAAACAGAGGAATTTCGACAGCTCGAGACGGTAGCTTAAGAGCATTTACATGATTGAGACACCGTTTGTACTGGCATGATCACATATGACAAGTGAAATTTTAGATTGAACGCTTTTATGACACAAAAATTGAAAAAAATGGAAAAATAATTCAAGAAACTTTGTTAGAAGCTCGTAATCTCTACTTTTAATGGAATAAGTTGTAAGATACTGGTTTTAGACTAATTTTTAATCGTTAATATACTTATTGTCTGTCAAATTCGCGCGGGAATTACGAAAGGTTGAGTCAATGGAAGTTAATGTACTGAGGTAAAAACCAGCACAGCGTCACTAAAAAA